AGATACAACTAATTGAAAATCTGGAATCTAAGGGTGCAAAAAAATCTAAATATTGCGAAAATCGCCTTTAAAGTTGTCCAAATGAAGTTCTTAGCAATGTATATTACAAATCAAAAATTAAGTTTTAATATATTTACAGTAGGGAATTTACAAGATATCTCCATGGAACATGATCTTTACTTAATATCCTAATGATTTTTGGCATAAAAGAAAAATCAATAATTTTGACCCATACAATGTATTTTTGGCTATTGCTACAAATATACCCCAGCGACTTAAAGGGGTCATATGTTTGTGGTCCAGGGTCACATATGTGCTAAACAATGCTATAAACACACCATAGCTAGACACCAAGAGCTTGTAACACTCCAAAGAGAAAGGAAAAAATTTAAATCGCATCATATGACCCCTTTAAGACTGGTTTTGTGGTCCAGGGTCACATTTAGCTAATCAGACTGTTGAAAGATATTAGTATCTTGAGCTTTGACCTGTGAACTTTGACCTTTGGCAGGACAGAAACCCATTACAAGTGGTACTCCTCCTCCCCTGACCCTACTTACATAAGTGTGCCAGATTTTAAAAGAGATGCACCCATCTGAGAGACACCGCACCGACAGCCTGCACCAACAGTGCCCTCAGCAAGGGCATCCAGAGTCACACCACCCACCGCAGTGTGCACTAAAAACCTCTCTTCCTCTGTCATTCACGTTCTCTCTCTTTCCCACTTCCTTTACATGCACGTCTTCTCTCATTCTTTCTCTCTGCTCTGCCAGTTGTGGCCTATATTTGGTGTTGGTGATGTAGGTCATGATAACCGAATGGTAAAATTAGAATTGTTTATTCCTTTGCACTACTGAATGATAGATATTTTGGCTATGAACCAACTCTGACACTTGTATATCAGATGCACAGTATTTTGGTCTAATGTTTAAAATATCTATAATATATAGACAGTAAAGAATGCAGAAATATATGCTAAAAATATTTTAATGGGATTTAATTTGTCTTTATGACTTGTTTTTAATACAAATTTCTAAAAATCCTCAAACAAGATTAATTACCTGACAAGTAATAATCTATATTGAGAAGATGTACAGATTATATATTATATATCATAAAATATAGATATATTGTTCAGAGAAAATGCACTACTGTTCAAAATTTTGAGGTTGGGAATATCTTTTAATGTTTTTATGTAAGTGTCTTATGCTCACCAAGGTTGCATTTATTTGTTACATTAAAAATACAGTAAAAACAGTAACATTGTGATTGTGTGATTAATTACAATTTAAAATAACTGTTTTCTGTTTTAATATATTTGATGATGTAATTTATTTCTGCAATGGCAATGCTGAATTGTCAGCAGTCGTTACATCAGTCTTCAGTGTCACATGATCCTTCAGAAATCATTATAATATGGTGATTTGCTGCTCAAGAAACATTTATTATCAATGTTGAAAGCAGTTGTGCTGTTTAATATATTTTTTTAACAATTATACTTGTTTTTCAAGGTTAGAAAGTTCAGCATTAATCTGAAACAGAACAATTATAAATGTCTTTACTGTCACTTCTGATCACTTCAATGCATCCTTCTAGAATAAAAGTATTCATTTGTTTAAAAAAATAAAAGTCACCCCAAAAAGTCTGTTTTACCTACTGGTCGAATTTTATATAAGTACAAACAAGTAAAAAATTAAATAATCTGCCAGTAGACTGAGACAAAATCAAAATACACTCAAGCTACAATCTATGAAACTGAATCGTAATATCTTCAATGTTGTTTCTCAAGTAAATGTGTCTTGTTTTAGGGATTTGATTTTAGATATCTCAATGAAAATCAAATATGATAAAACATGTCAAAATCAGTGTGCACATTCAGTTTAGGACTCTATTTACAAGAATGTTTATTGCCGTTAGTTTGCTTTAATCAGTATAGCAAAATACACTTGTGTAGTTCCTAGAACTTGGTTCCTGAAATTATTTTAAAACACAGTGCTAGAAAGTGTATGTGAGGAGACAGAGAGAAAGATAAATGTAATAGGACTGCATGTCCTCAAAGAAATGAGAGGCAAAACATCATGGGAGCAAAAGGCGTGTTGTGTGTAACACAAAGTGACAGTAAAAAATAGAGAAAGAGGGTATCTGAAATGATTGTGGGCAGAGTATGGTTCAGAAGGATGATGTAAGACCCCTACTGGCTGAGGTATGAAATAAACACCTCATAGTAAGGATCTCACACATCCCTGAAAGCCATCACCAGCACTGCAGCCAACAGAGGGCACTAGCAAACCATCCACAGCCTCTCTCTCTCCGCATTCTGTTCAGCTTGACTCATTCTGCCACCTGCAGCCCTCTGCAGAGATGACCCACCCTTCCTCTCACTGATACACTGCAGGGAACCATCAACTGTTCTTTCTATTGCCAGAACCAACAACCAGAGAGAGGCATCTGAACAGAATGGATATGTAAACCAGCATGCATATGCAAAAGAGCAAATAAATGATGATATAAACCAATGATATATGTTATAGCACCATCAGCTTGCTTTTAAAATGCTTTGCTAAATGCATTTGCATTGCATTTGTACAATAATGACAGGCTAATGGATCGCTGTAAAGCTACAAAACACATTATTTGTATGCTCTGACATTTTTAGTGAAAGAGATTCTGCAGAATCCTTGTTGATAACCTTGTAAACAAGAAATTATGCAGATGCACATCCTCTCAAATTTGAGCTTTCATGAATTTAGAGAACCTGTGGAGATAAATGGGGATTTTGTGAAACATTCGTCATTCATGCAATCTGTTTGTTGTGCTCTGCACCTCCGTTTCATAAAAAATGCATCCATCTGGAGGGACAGAAATCCCAGAGTGACCTTAACAAAAGGTTCAGGTCATGTCTGATAGAAACAGAAGCCAGCAGACACACAGTTCATGCCTTGCAGCGCGCAGACAACAGGCTTAGCCGTTTACAGTCAGCTCACAATAAATAACACTGAAGCGATGATAGTGTCTGTAATTACCCACAGTCTGTACTATGACTCATTGTCTGTCACAATGCTGAAGCACTGACTCAAATCCATGATTCTGCCAAGCATATATTCTAATGAATAGCATACACAAGCACAAAAAGACTCATTCACTTTCCTGTGTTAACCTCGTAGCATTACATTCTGCAAATAAACTTGATGTTTGCCCATAAACCACATATTCACAGCTGGCTGAAGCAGTAATGTCATAACTGAAGCATAATCCATGTGACTCAAGCTGAATAATACACATGATATGCGGAAGACAAAGCAGGTGACATTCATGCACACAGACTGAGAAATAAGAGGTGATACTGTTAAATCTTGATTTGCATGTAGATGTATATCTATAAATGAGCACAGCACATTTTTACCAAGAATGTACAAACAACATAAAAAAATGCATATGGTACAAAATCTCATCTTAACACTTATGATGCATATAACTACACAATTTTTAATTTTGTAATTTAATCTAAATATAAACATTTGTGAGTTTTGACATTAATTGTGGTTATTTTTTTATGTCTCATTATATATGACAATGTGTTATGTTGAATATCTTTTTTTCATTTGTGTTGCATCTCTTTTAAATGAACTAGTATATCAAATTCACAATAATCTCGATAATTTCTTTGTGATTCGGACTAATCCTGATCTTAAATTCAACTCACTGATTCAGTGATCTGCTTGCAGTGGTTAACAGCTCACTGGAGGAGATGATTGTTAGTGAATAATGTTTTTTTTTTTTTTGTCTATTTGTTAATGAGTGGTTTGTGGACACATGATATGCATGTTGTTAATATTTTATTATTATTATTTTTCAATTAAATATGTATTGTAATTGATGGGGTTATTATTCAGTATTTCAGTCAATTAGATGTACATTTCAGATACCTTCTCTTTTCATTTAAACCTATGGGCTAATTAAGTGAAATCATTCAATTTGCATTCACAGTTTTGCAATTATGAAATAGATGTAAATATTTATATGCCTGTATTTAAGTAAATAATAAATTTACCTTTCAGATGAATCTCTTCTACTCTGATTTTGCTTTGTCTGTTATTTAATTATTCAACTAAACTGCCAAAATAGAATTTGAAATAGAATAGTTGATTTTGTATTTTACAATATTGAAACACATATTTAAGTATTAATAAGAATGACATGAAAAGTCATTTATATATTCTGTAAAAAGGCTTCTTGCCCCAGATAGGGGGCCATTCTAGCTAGGAGTAATACTTTTACATTTTACTATAACAACTAAATTTGCGTATGCATCCTGCACATGCTGAAATATGTTATGGACACACTTAATAAACATTAATTACTAATTAATAAATAAATCTTTATAGATAGATAGATAGATAGATGAGAGCTCAAATCTGAATAATAATAATAATCAAAATAATAAATTTCTGTTACAAGAAACCAAAAGCCTAAATGTCAAGTTTATAACTCTACAAAGAATAATGTCTGTCAAAATAAACTGAAACTTCAGTAGTGCAGTCTCACTCATGTGACGACTCGCAGGGGTGGGAAGTAAAATGCCATTGTGCCACTAGAGGAATCATTCCATCTGACAAGTTCAGAAGAGGGAGCAAGAGAGGGAATGAGACCTTGAAAGAACAAGAACCATAAGATCTTGTTTAAAGCCATATAGACCAATCCTATGTAATTCCATAAGTGATAACAAACATATGAATTATTTAAACAACAAATAAAAACATGCACAGTAACATGAACTGGGTTGCACAGTACGGGGAAATGAGGATCAGTTTCTTTACACAGCATGAAATCTGCTGTGTGTTTTTCTCACAGAGTCAGCAGCATGTCCCTCTCATTAATGCATTGAGAGACTTCGATATAATGCAGGTGGGACTGCAGCACTCCAGCAGTCCAGAGACCCACAGACTTTTAATCCATCTATCTCCCTCAACCAGCTGGGCAAAGCAGAACCCAGTACTGACCCAATTGCACAGAAATTTGCACAGGTCCTGATCCCTGTCCTCTGTCAAGGACTCGGGGAAAAAGATTCAAGAGGCATGACTAACTATTAGACGAAGCTACTAGAAACATGGAGCATAAGTCTGAGACCATTTCAAGACACAATAAACATACATATTTACATTTATCCATACATTGGCAGCATCATTGAACATGCAGAAAAAAGTGTGAGAAAGTGTAAAACTAGAGCATTTAGTAACTTTTTCACATGCAAAACTCAGTAACAAAAATAAAGTTATTCAAAAACCTTTAAATAAAACCCCAACTCAAATCAGTATTCTGAGCAGTAGGTTAGTGAAGCTTATTAAACATCATTTAAATTCTCTTTGAAGACTTGGGAATAGCTGTTGCAACCTGCTTCAATCTGCAACTGCAGTTTAACGTCATTAAAGAGTTATAATTAAAACAGATTTCTTTGATTAATTAATAATCAAATCATTAAAGATGGGGCACAAAATGAGAGCAGTGCTACTAAGGTCTTGATGAGCTTGCATAGCAGTGAGGTGGCGCTGTCCAGCACTGCTGGTGCTGAAACTACACTACATACAAGCTTGAGGCATCTGAGTTGTGGTAGTGATTGACACAGAAAAACTCCAATCATAAATATGATAGAAATAATGCCAATAAAAAAACCAAAGATGACTGCTTTTTTTAAAATTAAGGTCATTGAAATATTTTATTTTGGGTAAACAATGTAAACACAGGCTTTGTGCTGTAAGTTGCATCACATGTGCATGAACCACATTTTCAGCATAATATCAAGCTAGAAAAATAAATGATGTTTTGCTCCACTTCTATATTTTTCTATAAACTAAATATGTGCTAATATTCCACTATTTAAAAAAGCATGCATATAGTGAATATACGAATAGTCCATATAAGTGTAATTTCAGCGACTTTATAAACTGAGGTCTTAAATAATGCTCACCTTCCCAGTGGTAGGAAGAGTTTGGGTTCGTGTAAAAGTATCTTCTCCATGAATGCTGATCAGTTCAGCCTCTGCAGGAGGAAATGGCGAAGGGAAAACCACCATGTCGCTCTTCATTGTGTCTGAGCTAAAACAAACGTCATATTGTTGCGTCGATTTGGAGTAGGACCAGCTTCCGTCTGGATGTGTGCTGATCACTGGAGCGCTGTACCTGCTGAAACTGCCATCTGTCCTGTAGCATTTAACTGCTATCAAACCCACAAGACTTAATAAAAAAGTAACTGCTACTGAGATAATAGCGATAAGCAGATACAGATTCAGATCGGAAAAACTCTCCTCTTTAACAGGAACTTCATGTCATCCAGACTCTCAACAACCACAACATCCATGGACATAGTTGCTGAGAGTGATGGCTCTCCATTATCAGACACTGTGATAAGAAGTGGGTGAGTTTTTAAGTCATTGTCACTCATTTGTCTCTTAGTCTTTATTTCTCCAGTACTGCTTCCAATGCGGAAGAGATTTGTTCCTTTGGGTTCAGTTAGATGATTAGACAGAAGTGCGTTATATCCAGAGTCAGCATCAACAGCTCTGATCTTGGCTACAAAGTATCCCGCTTCAGCAGAGTAGGGAATGTTCTCACTATTAACTGATCCAGGTTCAGAATAAGGCGGTAAAATAACCGGACTGTTGTCATTCTCATCTATAATAAACACATTTACAGTCGCATTACTTCTCAGAGGAGGAACACCGGAGTCTGTTGCCTCAGCAGAGTAGGGAATGTTCTCACTATTAACTGATCCAGGTTCAGAATAAGGTGGTAAAATAACCGGACTGTTGTCATTCTCATCCAGAATAAACACATTTACAGTTGCATTACTGCTCAGAGGAGGAACACCAGAGTCTGTTGCCTGAACATGGAAACTAAGTGTTTTCTGTTCTTCAAAATTGAAAGACTGTAGGTTATACAACTGGCCTGTCAATGACTTAACACTAACAGCATTTATGTTTGCTTTGTTATCCACAATGGAATAAGAAATTTCAGCGTTTTCATTTGAATCTCTGTCAACTGCTGACACTGTGTAAATGAGGGTTCCCGGGGGAGTGTTTTCTTTTACATAGACAGAAATAGTTTTTTCGTTAAATTGTGGAGGATTGTCATTCACATCTGAAACGTCAACATAAACCACACTGGTGCTGGAAAGTGGTGGGGTTCCTTCATCTACTGCTACGAGGGTTACATTATACTTTGAGATGTTTTCCCTGTCAAGCTGGCCTTCCAAAACAACAGAGTAATAATTCTTGTAGGAAGACTCGAGTTTGAAAGGTACATTTCCCAGCAGCTTACAACTCACTTTCCCATTCATTCCACCATCCTTATCGGAAACTGTGACCAGAGCCACAGCAGTGCCAGTTTTTGCATCTTCTCTTAAAGAAGACAGCAGGGACGTTATTACTATTTCTGGTGCATTGTCATTAACATCTATGACTTCAATTAGTACTTTACAATTAACCGTCATCGGGGAAAGCCCCTTATCATGGGCCTCTATTCTAAGTTCATAAAAAGCTTTGTCCTCAAAATCAATATCTCCTTTTACCTTGAGCTCCCCTGAATCAGGGCTGATTGCAAATACATCAAGATTTTTTTCCTGACCATGACTGCTAAATAAATATGTTACCTCCCCATTTGGACCTTCATCCATGTCAGTGGCACTGAGTTTGATAATCTTAGTTCCTTTTGGTGTGTTCTCTGTCACACGGACTTTATAAAGAGGACTGCTAAACACTGGAGCATTATCATTAATATCTAAAACATTGACAATAATTTGCAATGTGCCTGACCTGGATGGTTTCCCTCCATCGAAAGAAGTCAATACTAGTCGAATTACAGGTTCTTTCTCTCTATCTAAAGCTTTTCGAAGGATTAGCTCTGCAGACATGCCATGTTCACCACCCTGGTTTACTTCTAATGAGAAATGTTCATTAGGACTCAGGTTATAGCTTTTAATAGAGAAAGTCCCTACATCTTCATCCACTGCACTGATCAAGGAAAATGTAGCTCCTGGCTGCACTGATTCAGAGATATTCAAAACCTGAATTTCAACAGGGAATGCAGGAGAATTGTCATTCACATCATTAACGTTAACTATCACTCGACTCAGACTGAGAGGATGGTTTACTATCGCCTCAAAATTCAAGGAACAGGATGGAGTATTAGGACATAGCTGCTCGCGGTCAATTCTTTCAGCAACGTACAAGACGCCAGATTTCAGATTCACATCAAAATACCTCGTCCTCGTGCCGAATACAAGCTGAAATGCCCGCGATTCCAAATCCTGGACGTTTAAATTCATGTCCTTCACCACATTTCCGACGACAGTTCCGATATTTACTTCCTCGGACACGGAGTAGACAATCTGACCATCCACTGGCACTGAAACACACATCACGAGCCAGAGGAAAGTAATATGTGGGAACCTTAAGTCCTTCCTGTCTGCCATCCTTCCGTTTGAGATGGCAACGTGATCAAAACAATACAAAGGTGATCAAAAGCACATCAAAACTTTGTAGACACAATGAAGAATGAGACTCACGGAAACACGCCACGAAAAGCATCCAGACCGTGACGCTCGGTTATAGGACGTCACTCAGCGAAATCGTAGGCGGAGTTGAGACGGTATATGGAAAATATTAAAGTTTAGCGGTCTACAGTGACACCACGCGGAGTACGTGCGGTTCTGTGTGGCGAAACCACACAAACATGCCGCATCACTTAAGGAAATAACCACGTATTGTAAATTAACATAAACCCCGAAAGAGCTTTGCTAGTCTGAAGAAGTTTGCATAAGCTATACCCATATCAACAACAAACGCGCAGGAGTTCAAAATACAGTAAGTCAGTACAGTATACAGTTAATGATTTTGTGTGAATACTATATTACATTCGGGCAAACTGTTAATGTTAGAGAAAGCATGAGAAAACTTTTTTTGTTCTCGTATTATGAATGGAACTGAATCCTTTGAATACATTTGCAACACACTTAAATTATTACGCGTATCCAGAATCCTGATTAAATTAATTAGCTAAATGTTGAAAACATTAGTTTATTGAAAAAGTATATTTTATTGATTTTAACGCAAATAAATAAATTAATTAATTACAAGCCATACATTTTATAGGGATGAGCGAGACAACCCTCCACATACTGTGTCGCGAAAAATTATAGAAATTCCTATAATTATTATACAGATGTTAAAGTTCGTCGAAAAGAGTACTTTTCGTTAATGCTTAGGCTATTGGTTTGTTTACAACACAGATTTTCATTACAATTTTAATTGTCTTTTAAATTCAACCGTCCTTCACAGAGATTCAATCCTTCGCCATATTTTCAAAAACTAGCCTCCTTTTGACTCCATGGAACAAAGTTCAAGACTTGACAAGAGTATATGCTTTCACTTAAGTGAACCTATTCATTTTTTCAGTGTTAAGAAATTCTAACATGGGAAATGCAACGCTTGTTTGCCATTACATCAGCCCTGATCTGACATTTTTAACGTAATCCATTGCATTTGATGGCAAATGGGTGGAATTTAACTACAGATATTTACAATTTGAGCAGCAGTGACACCAAGGTTATTAAGTGAATCCTATTTACACCTAGGTAGCACTACAGAGATATAACACATTTAAAAGCCAACAGAAGAATTATGTAACACTGGAGTAAAGTATAATTCCTTACATTTATATAGCACTTTTCTGGCCACTCAAAGCGCTTTACATAGAAGGGGGGAATCTTCTCAACCACCACCTGGATGATGCGACGGCAGCCATATTGCGCCAGAACGCCCACCACACACCAGCTTATTGGTGGAGAGGAGACAGAGTGATGAAGCCAATCAGCAGATATGGGGATGGTTAGGAGGCCATGATGGTCAGAGGCCAATGGGCAAATCTGGCCAGGATGCCGGGGTTACACCCCTACTCTTTTTTGAAGGACATCCTGGGATTTTTAATGACCACAGAGAGTCAGGACCTCGGTTTAACGTCTCATCCTAAAGACGGAAGTATAAAACAATCTGTGTGTGTACACATACATTTGAACACGCACAATTTCCTATACAACTGAAAAATATGAGACCACATAGCCCTACAGATACTATGGCCTTTGGAATGATATGTGAAGCTGAAATGCTCCATGTACTAAAATCACATATTTGCTTGATACGGTAGTAAAAAGTTACTAAGCTACAAAAAGTTCACTATGATGATGTTTTCGAACTGTGAAATTTAAGTTTTATCTTACCTTGGTAGTGTTTGGAAGTGTTTGAGTCCTATTAAAAGTGTCTCCTTCATTAATGCTGATTAGTTCTGCATCTGACAGTGGAAAGGTCGAAGGAAACACAACTACATCACTCTTTATTGTGTCTGAACTAAAACACACGTCGTACTGTTGTGTGGATTTAGAGAAGGACCAGCTTCCGTCTGGATGTGTGCTGATCACTGGAGCGCTGTACCTGCTGAAACTGCTGTCTGTCCTGTAGCATTTAACTGCTATCAAACCCACCAGACTCAGTAAAAAGATGACTGATACTGAGACAATAGCGATGAGCAGATACAGATTCAGATCCGAAAAACTCTCCAGAATAAACACATTTACAGTCGCGTTACTGCTCAGAGGAGGAACACCGGAGTCTGTTGCCATAACTTGAAACTGAAATATTTTTGTTTCTTCGTAATTAAATGATTGCAAACTGAATATTTCTCCACTTAAAGAGTTTATATTTATCAGTGTTGTTATAGGAACACTGGAGCTGGAACTTTCTGACAGTGAATATGAAAGTTCTGCATTTTCACCAGTGTCTGAATCATCAGCGGACACTTTTGTCATGAGACCTCCAGCTTGACCATTCTCACTTAGAAAAGCGTTAATAACTGGTGCTGGGAAATGTGGAGCATTGTCATTAACATCAGAGATATGTAGAGTTATAACAGTGCTGCTGGAAAGAGACGGAGTTCCTTCATCTGCAGCTGTAATTGTGATGTTATACAGAGAAGCGCTCTCTCTGTCCAGAGGTCCATCTACCACTAGAGAATAATGATTGTTATATGACGTCTCCAGTTTGAAAGGAAACGAGCCTTTCAGAGCACAGTGTACAATGCCGTTTTTACCTCCATCTTTATCAGACACTGTGACTAAAGCTACAGCAGTTCCTGACTTTGTGTCTTCTTTCACACTTTCCAACAGAGAAGTCACAATTATCTCTGGTGCATTATCATTTTCATCCATAACTTCTATTAAAACTTTACATTGTGTGCTCTTTGGTGGACTGCCTTTATCTCTCGCCTGAACTCGCAATTCAATTGCAACATTTATCTCATGGTCTATTTGACCCTTCACAACAATGTCCCCAGTTTCAGGAACCACAGTGAATAGACTTTGCTTTTTTATGTTTCCATGTTCAGCTATTGAGTAAATAATGTCACTGTTGGTGCCCTCGTCCAAATCAGTAGCAGTCAAAGAGATGATTCTTGTACCAACAGAAACGTTTTCACTCACCTTTATCTTGTACAAAGGTTTGCTGAAGACAGGCTTGTTGTCGTTTATATCAATTACATTAACTATTACACTTAATGTGCCAGTCTTTGCAGGCTTTCCTCCATCAATCGCTGTCAGTACAAGAGGAATTACCGATTGTTTTTCGCGATCTAAAGGGTTTTGGAGCATTAATTCAGCAGACACACTCTGCTCTTCAGTTTGCACGTCAATAGAAAAGTGTTCATTCTTGCTCAGTTTGTAGTCTTTCAGTGTATTAATGCCAATGTCGTTATCTTCAGCTACAGGAAGATGAAATCTCTCCCCTGGAACAACATCCTCTGTAATGTTTATCGTTATAACGCTGTCCACAAAATATGGAGCAATATCATTAACATCCAGAACATTTATTTCAATTCGATACAGGCTATGAGGATTTTGAACAACAGCCTCCAAATTAAGAGCACACTGCTGAAGATCGAAGCATAACTCCTCCCGGTCAATTCTTTCATTCACAAACAACGCTCCCGTTTTTAAATCCAAATCGAAATATTTCCTGTTGGATCCAGACACAAGCTGCAAGATACGAGATTCCAGAACACTGATCTTGAGATCCTTTGCTATATTTCCGACAACAGTTCCCTTATTTACTTCCTCCGAGACCGAATAGACAATCTTGCCGCATGAAGATCGCCATAAACAAAAATGCAGAGCTGTTTTGACGCACAGATATCTTAAGCTTTCCATAACCGTTTCTTCAAAGCCTCAAATATTAATCCGTTTAAAAAACGCAGTTTTTTTTTGTCTCGTTGCTGCCAGGACATTAGTCTCTGAAGCCTGTATAATACCTTATCAATTCCACATGACTACAGTATATACGGTTGCTCTTCCACTGTAAGGGAGGAGCCTCATTTTAATAAAAGGAGTGCTTTAAATTCGTGGTCTGCAGCGACATCGCGCGTTTTAACTGCATAATTATTTAAGATATTTTATTTAAATTGCAATTTACCAGAGTATAAATGTATTCTTTAAAGAATGGGATTTGTTAATTGCAAAGTATAAATGCAATCAACACACTTACGTCTGTAAATATCCCCAGCACTTGTTAAAAAGGGAATACATTCTGTTGGTTGTAGGAATCAGACAAAATAAAATGTATCTACATCTAACCGAGATGACCAAAATGTACGGAAAGAAAAGCGAGGACGAAATGTTCATTGTCCATGGTGCTGAAAACTGTTATAGGATAACACCACCTTAAGACTTCGATATTGTCTTTGTTATTCATAAAGCGCATTTTATTGCATTTTGTCTACCACCATTTATTTATACTTGTCTTTTTTTCTGTCACTTAATAATAGCAACGACGACAAAGGCAATGGAATTCAGTTCAGCGAAATTAATTAAAAGAAGCGACAGCAACAGCTTGACTCAAATCCAACGTAATTTCAAATCCAACGCATCAACTACTAAAACAATAAATGAGTAAATAAATAACAAATATACATACTTACATAAATCTCCATAGAATTGAATTCTAACTTTTTTTTAACACAACTAGGTTTCCAAAATCTTCTTACCTTCTCAGTGCTCGGAAGAGTTTGGGTTCGTGTAAAAGTATCTTCTCCATTAATGCTGATCAACTCCGCGTCTGCTGGCGGAAATGACGAGGGGAACACGACTACATCACTCTTTATTGTGTCGGAACCTAAACACACGTCGTACTGTTGTGTGGATTTAGAGAAGGACCAGCTTCCGTCTGGATGTGTGCTGATCACTGGAGCGCTGTACCTGCTGAAACTGCTGTCTGTCCTGTAGCATTTAACTGCTATCAAACCCACCAGACTCAGTAAAAAGATGACTGATACTGAGACAATAGCGATGAGCAGATAAAGATTCAGATCTGAAAAACTCTCCTCTTTAACAGGAACTTCTGTGAATGATGTCTTTATGTCATCCAGACTCTCAACAACCACAACATCCATGGACATAGTCGCTGAGAGTGATGGCTCTCCATTATCAGACACTGTGATAAGAAGTGGGTGAGTTTTTAATTCATTGTCACTCATTCGTCTTTTAGTCCTTATTTCTCCAGTGCTGCTTCCAATGCGGAAGAGATTCGTTCCTTTGGGTTCAGTTAGATGATAAGACAGAAGTGCGTTATATCCAGAGTCAGCATCAACAGCTCTGATCTTGGCTACAAAGTATCCCGCTTCAGCAGAGTAGGGAATGTTCTCACTATTAACTGATCCAGGTTCAGAATAAGGCGGTAAAATAACCGGACTGTTGTCATTCTCATCCAGAATAAACACATTTACAGTGGCGTTACTGCTCAGAGGAGGAACACCGGAGTCTGTTGCCATAACTTGAAACTGAAATCTCTTTGTTTCTTCATGATTAAATGACTGTAAACTGAATATTTCTCCACTTAAAGAGTTTATATTTATCAGTGTTGTTATAGGAACACTGGAGCTGGTACTGTCTAACAGTGAATATGAAAGTTCTGCGTTTTCCCCAGTGTCTGAATCATCAGCGGACACTTTTGTCACAAGACCTCCAGCTTGACCATTCTCACTTAGAAAAGCGTTAATGACGGGTGCTGGGAAATGTGGAGCATTGTCATTAACATCAGAGATATGTAGAGTTATAACAGTGCTGCTGGAAAGAGACGGAGTTCCTTCATCTGCAGCTGTAATTGTGATGTTGTACAGAGAAACACTCTCTCTGTCCAGAGGTCCATCTACCACTAGAGAATAATGATTGTTGTATGAAGTTTCCAGTTTGAAAGGCAACGAGCCGTTCAGAGCACAGTGTACAATGCCATTTTTACCCCCATCTTTATCAAACACTGTTACCAAAGCAACTGCAGTTTCTGAATTTGTGTCTTCTTTCACACTCTCCAGAAGAGAAGTCATAGTTATTTCTGGTGCATTGTCATTTTCATCCACAACTTCTATTAAAATTTTACATTGTGTGCTTTTTGGTGGGCTGCCTTTATCTTTCGCTTGAACTCGTAACTCAATCGCTGGATTTTCCTCGTAATCTATTTGCCCTATTACAACAATATCTCCAGTTTCGGGGATAATGGTAAATAGGTCTTGCTTCTTCACATGACCCACAATCGAGTACTGAATTTCGCGGTTTATTCCTTCATCCAAATCAGAAGCAAACACAGATACAATTGTAGTACCAGTAGCAACATTTTCCCTCAATTTGACTTTGTAAAGAGGTTGACTAAACACTGGATTATTGTCATTAACATCCATGACGTTTATAAAAATATTTAATGTTCCCGATTTAGGTGGCTTTCCTCCATCTACTCCAGTGAGAACTAACTTAATTGTTGCTTGTTTCTCTCGATCTAAAGCTTTGTTCAGCACTAACTCAGCAGACACACTCTGGTCTTCACTCTGTGTATCTAGACTGAAATGTTCATTCGGACTCAGTTTGTATTCTTTCAGCGAATTACTGCCAACATCAGAGTCCTCGGCTACAGGGAGAGGAAATCTCTCTCCAGGGCTTGCGTTTTCACTGATATTCACAGTAAATTCTTTAACAGGAAAATGTGGCGCATTGTCGTTTATATCCAAGATCTTAATCTCCACTCTGTAAAGACGATGAGGATTTTTAGCAAGGGCCTCTATATTCAAAGAGCATTTCTGATTCGACAAACATAATTCTTCGCGGTCAATTCTTTCATTAACAAACAGAGCGCCAGTTTTCAGATTTACATCAAAATACTTCTTATTTGATCCAGACACAATCTCAAACATACGAGATTCCAGTTCATGAACATTCAAGTTCAGGTCTCTCGCTATATTCCCAACAACTGTCCCCTTATTTACCTCTTCCGGTACGGAATAGACGATCTGA